GGGATCGGAAATGACATGAAGGCACACAACAACAAACAGTTACAACCTCATCAGGTGGGGCCACCATCTGATGGAAACATCACACAATGCTTCTCTTCTTGCCTGTGTTGTGCTGGCTCCAGTAGAGCCAGCACAGATTTCTGCTGCTCAGGTGATGCTTCCCATGTGTGATGGGAAATGCAGTGCCACCAGGGAACAGCACATGGGCTGACGGATTTGCCCAGCTGCCCTCTGTTTCTTTGGTGAAGCCAGACGAAACGGGACACTATTCTTACTAGCAGTGATATCATTGCCAACAAAGGACCATTATTTCTCAGTGAAAAACAAGCATATATAGAGAACCAGGATCATGTTTTATGGCTTCATGCCTATCTTCTGTTTGTTCTGAAAGGCCCTTTATACCTACAACTTGTACTTGGATGAGCTTGGTATGCCCCCTAATTTATGCATACAGAGATTATGCATTTTAACTATTTGGAAGTTATGGCTAAATACAAAGAGTGGCAAAGTGCTACAGCAGATATTTCTGTCCTCATAAGAGGAGTCTTCTAACATGCCATAACTCTATCCCTGCAGGTAACAGCATATGTGTGTTATGTCATAGATGTAGATAGCTAAAAATACAATTGAGAAAACTGGAAATTATTGCAAACATAGATTCAGAGGAGAGGTTGGACATTGCCAGGGTTGGGGATTACATCACTCCTTCATAGTTCTTTGAAGGCTTGCTGCACTCTTGCTTCACTTCACTCCCACATGGAGACTCATCATGATTCTCCATACACTCCAGGGATTTAGTTCTGGTTTTCCTTCCTTCCAGTTCCAAAGGGAATCTTCCAGGTCTAAAAGAACCCCAAAAGCAAAAACTTACTGAACTCTAGAAGGTATGAGATTGTTATTATTAGTTCTTCATTAAAAAAAAAACACACAACTTTTCATCAGGCCCCCATGTCCCTATTTTGCCTTACTCTGTTTTGAAAGATAGCAGAGATTGAGCTGATTCTTAGTCAAATACATATCCCCACTGTTCTGGTTTGGCAGGGATGGCCCCAGTTAATCTTCTACTGTCCAGCCCCAGTTCCTCTCTCCTCCTAGTTTCCCCCTTTGTCTTCAACTTACTTCAGTTGTTGTAAATTGAGAGCAAAGTGCGCCATCAGTGTGTACTCAATTAACTCAGCAAGAGGGAGAGTGGAGGAAGGATAGAGTCTTCTTCTTCCTAAACATGGTAACTAATACCAGAGATTCTCTGGCTCAAAATAGTAGTTATGTGACTACTTTCTCATTAATACCGTAACATTTGCCTCCTTATTCCCTTGCTATACCTTTTGACCATACTCCGATGTGGCTCAGCTACATGTATCCCATTTTAGTGTGTGAAATGTTGGAGAGTATGCAAATGGGAAAGGCAATAAAAAGTACTACTTTGAGTTATAAAACTGTAACTGACATGTCTGAAGTGAAGAAGGAGGAATCAAACTAGTTGTCTGTAAGATGTAGAAAAAAACAGGTATAGGGAAAAAAATTCTTATCCAAATGAGGGGTTCTCATAGGATTTGATACTTTAAAGGTTGACTTCTTAAGAAAAAAAAATCCTTCACATCATGTTTACAAGGAAGGGATCCAAACTGAGAGAAAAAGTCAAAGCAGTAAAAAATGTAAGGTGAAAACAGTACTGATAACACTCCCCAGCAGCTTCTGACTGCTGGACTCCAAAAATGTAACTTTTTCAATATGTGCTTTAGAGTTAGACTGGCTTAAAGAAGCCAGACAGAGAAACATATCTCTTATTAAACTGGGAAACATACTGTCAGCAGTGTCCATCTCTTGTGCTGTTAGTGCAAGCTGTACTTTTTTTCTTGCCATGAGAATGTTATGTGGTGTTTGATAACACTAGATTCAATATTGCTTCAATGTTTTAAGTGCTTTGTAGATGACAGTTGCTTTTGGTAGATGTGCATTTACTGGCTCTAAGCTATAATGATTTCATTTTAATAGAGAAACTCATTTATTTGAATGTTCTCAACTTCAGTCTGTAGTTTGCTCATACTTATCACTCGGTGGTGTATCCATAAGCCTCGGTTCGATTAAACACTTAAGGCCTTTCCCCCAAAACAAATAGTAATTTTTTTCGAGTCAGATGAGAAACTGCAAGTCACTTCTGGTGTGAGAGAATTGGCCATCTGCAAGGACATTGGCCAGATGTTTGATGTTTTTGCCCAGATGTTTGATGTTTTACCATCCTAGTGGGAGGCTTGTCTCATGTCCCGGCATGAGGAGCTGGAGCTGACAGAGGGAGCTCAGCCCATTATCTCTGGATTCAAACCACTGACCTATCGGTTATCTGTCCTGCCAGCACAAGAATTTAACCCATTGCACCACTGGGAGCTCCACAAATAGTAATGTGAGGATTGCATTTAAGGGATCCATTTTGTCTGGCCTGAAAGATCCAAAGGACTGAAATCTTTATGTAAAATATTACGTTCTGGTTGTTGCTATGTGTCTTCACGTTGACTATAACTAATAGTAACCCTGTCCCAGAGTTTTTTGGTGGGGTTTATTCAGAGGAGGCTTGCTGCCTGAGATCGACTCACCCAAGGCCACCAATTGAGTATCTATGGCTAAATGGGGATTCAAACACCAGTCTCCCACAGTCATATTTCAACAATCAAACCACTACACCACATTTGTCATCTTTCTTATAGGCATGTCTAACCCACCACTTTCCAGGGGATTCCAACACAGTTGCTTTGGCCTTGGAAACAAATGTCCTAAACCATATTAAATAGATGTGAGTCCTTGTTTCCCTGGCTTCCTTTTGGCATAATCTTCAGTGCTGCCTGTTTTCTTTTCTTTTTTGGGGAGTTGTATTCAGGCACACATACTTTCTACCACTGGATGATTAAATGCTATCCCTCTAGCAACCAAGCTGTGGCTGACAAATGTATACTCCTAACCTAAATTAATTAATTCTAAAATAACCCCAATTAAATTATATAGCACTGTGGTCAAGTAAATATTAAATCAGGTTGTGTGCATAATGAAAATATATTTCCCTATCTGAAATCTTATGAGGTATTGCAAATAATGTTTTTAATAAAACATATGTGCACATCAGTTGCAGGCAAATGATGAAAAATAGTATTACCTGTAGTAAGACAGGTTAGCCAAGTGCCACCTGTTGCATAAAATATGTATTATTTTTCTTCATCTTCCATGGACAGGCTTCAGTGCTTGGATTATGTCTTATTGGGCTATCTTGCCTAAAGAAAGGAACATAATCTCCTTCTTGCAGTCTGCATTTGCCTCAGGAAAAGAACCATATTTCTGCTTCCATTTGTTCAAATTATGGCATAATGAGCTATACCTAGATTGGCCACTTTGAATTCACACTCCTTTTTTTGAATTGACGGAATTCTATTTTAGGTGACATGGTAACAAGTCCTCAGTTGACATATTTTTCTAAAATGATGCCCAATTTTTATTATATATATATATATATATATATATATATATATATATATATATAATATAAATTTTATATAAAATATATATAAAATAGGTAACTCTAAGAATAACTGTTGCTTGACCTTTCTGTTGCTGTGACAGACATGAGATCTTCTACAAGTTAAAATGTGATCCAATTAAAAATTGACACATCAGACAGAAGATTTGTTGACATTCAGGCTTTTCATATTGGAAACAATTTTCATATCTAGGTCCTTTCAAACAAATGCTGCCTCCTTTATGAGAACTTTATTATTTAAGTAATGAATGAATGAATTGGATCTTTCCTATTTCTGAAATATTCAGAATAATAGATAGCGAGCTACTGCCAGATGCTGTGGAAGATGGGAAGCACTATGTTACTTATTCATATGGCTTGTGAATGTGAAGGGAGTTGTGTGATTTGAGGGTTGGAGAAGAGAGTTCAGATCCATGGAAGCTCACTGGGTCACCTCAGGCAAGCCATGTTCTCTCAGACATAGAAGAAGACCATGTCAAATGCCATTTGAACAAATCTTCTTTTTAAAAAATCCCATATGTTCACCTTAGGGTCACTTTATGTGAGACATACAATTGGAAGCACACAATTACAAAAAAAAGTTTAAAAATTAATTGATATAGTTGATTTACACTTTTAGAGGGTTTTTTAAATCTCATATTCCGTGTTAGGAAGAAGTTCATCTGAAGATGTCTTAAAGATATGCATGCGCCCAAGACATTTTGTAACTTCACCTGATCATGTAGCACAAGGCTAAGGAGGATCTTGTTTTCCAAATACACTGCTGGACTATACCTCTCGTCAATCTTCACTGACTAGGTTTCATGGGTATTACAGATCCAACACCTGGAGGACCACATGCTACTTGCACCTGATGTACAGTGAACATAGAAACTACCTGATACTATTTCAATATAGCCCATAATTTTTGGACCAGTGGTTCTCCCAAGATTCCAGGAAAGATTCTTTGCTAGCCCTTGCCTGAAGATCTCTTGTGTTCCTTGGTGTTCTTCCAACTGAGTACTAATTCAACCCAATTCCAATTAGTTTCCATGGTCAGATAGGACTGGTGTGTTTGGTTGATGGTATTGAGCCTCCTTGATCCATGGCAATCAGAATGATGTATGTCTCTGGATTTTAATAATAAAATAATAAATAATAAAAGTATCTGGGTTTCATAAAAATGAACTCAGAAAGTTTCATTACCCTGCGTATCCTGTTCATCCTATCAATTTAATCTTTGCCATTATAAGTAGTGTCTCCATTTTCTTAGAGTGGTAGGGACGCTATGTTTATAAAAAAGAATGATGCAATTATTAATTATTAATTATTTTAGTATTTTGGAATTTTAATCATCTGGTAATTAGTAAAAGCAGGCAGTCTTTGTCAGCTGCTGCAGGAGTTTTTCTTCCCATGTCTTTCTGTTATCTTTAATGTTTCTTTTGGTATATAATCCTTCCCTCACTGTGATTTTTGCTTCCCTTTTTTTTTTTAACAGAGCTTCTTTGAAGGACAGTCTGCACCATGGGACTCTGCTAAAAAAGATGAGAACCGAATGAAGAATAGATATGGGAATATCATTGCATGTAAGTGTTGACAGCATAATTGTACTACTGTGTAAATTCCTTTTAGTAACTGACAACACTGCCCACTGATATACAGCTCTTTGTGTCTAGAGTAAAACAGAGCTCTAACCACCATAATAAAATAGAAGGGGGAGAAATAAATACTTTAGTACTTGAAAGATTTGAAAGCAGTAGAGGTATTATTAGAGAATGAATGCAGAGAGGCAGTTTCAGTGTCACATTAGACCAAAGAGACCAAAGTTCAGATCATAACTCAGTTCATTGGGTGACCTTGGGTCCATCACTGTCTCTCTACTTGTGTCACCTCTTAAGGTTGTTCTGGAGATAAAATGGGAGGAGAAGGACACAATGGGAAAAACAGGATAAATAAATAATAACAAAATCATTTTGTTACTCCTTACTAGGGCGGAACTATTGAATCAGGGAAATTTGCTTATGTCCTGGCCCACCATTCAGCAATTGATTCAATTAATCTACTCTGTTTCAAACGAACTAATAGGATTTCTGCCATTGGGTGGCTTCTAAATGAGTTAAAAATGACTTCTGTATGTGGAAGAGGAAGTGTCAGTTTTCCTTGGCCCTTGTAGCTCTCAGGTTGGGAAGAGTTGGGAAGCATATTTGTAGGGAACACTCAGTTATAGGGGGAAAGAAGAAAGTCCCATTGCGTGAGCTCCACTTATATGACATTGGCTTTCACCCAAAACTTTATTAGGCTGCTAAAGTAGAAGTGGGGAAAATACAGCCCATGGGCTACATGGGACTCTGCTAAAAAAGATGAGGACCGAATGAAGAATTTAGCAGAGTCCCCAACCCATGTTGTGTCTGTGGCATCTTAACTTTTAATCTCTTTAAACTACCAGCCCCCCCCCCAATTTCTGAAAATTAAAAAAATGTAACCTCTACTGCAGTTGCCCCCATATAATCTAGTGTCCTATTGCATTGGCAGAAAGGAATTAAGTAACCAAACTATAACTCCTCATTCTACAAACATCACTTATGGACCATGAAACAATGTATTACATGTACATTTTTGATGAAAAGTCAGATTGAAAATGTCATGCAAATGGAGCACACTGACTACATGGTATTTTAGTTGACTTCACTGAGGTTTTTTACGCTCAAACTGTGGGCTCTTACAGACTGGTCAATTGAAACCTGAGTTCTCACAATATCACTCCTTGGATATTGTTGTCTCTATATCCACTTGTTACATTATGTCTGGAGGTTGTTTGTATTGATTTCTTGGATCTACGTGTTGCTGTGGTTGTTTTTAATCCAGAGCTCATTTAGTGAGATGATCCGTGGTTCAAATGACACATTTTCTCCTCTTTTCAAAAGACTAATGGTGCAAAGGCGCTATTTCACTGATACGCTACAAAGTGATAACTTAGAAAAGAACATTAGAAAAGAGGAGAAGAGAAGGAAACATTTTTGTTCTGATATGTCCTGGATTTAATAAGAGCTGGAAATGTTGCAGCTGATGCCAGAATTTTCCAGAAATTTGTCTGTAACAACAGAAATGCCATTTTGATATATTTATTTTTTAAAACCAGGAAGTACAGCAACAAATGTCACAATCTCCTGATAAATCTGCTCCATCTTGAATAACCCAGTAAATAATGGAAACCATCTATTATAATTATTATAATATTGAAAGCCCAGATGAATGAATATAAAATAGGGATGGTGTTTGCTCATTGCACAAAGAGAACCATACAGAAGAGGAGAAGCTGCTCCCCTTCTCAATTGGCTTATTTAGAGCTTATTTTCTCATTGCTCAAGCCTTGTCTGGAGTATGTTGGCACCTAATATCTGAGGACTCAGAGTTGGAAATCATTGCTGTATACTCAATGTGTGTCTTCCCAGCCTTTACAGGGACCAGTCCTCCAGGATGGGGAAAATTTAGCACAGAGATCCATCTGTTTTCAATTTTGAAATCTCCATACCCACGTAGGCATTTTTCAAAAACCTCCATTAATGCTCCATGAAAGGCTTGAATTTTTAATTGAAGAACAAATCAAATAAAATATAACCTTATTTATATTTATATCCCATTTTATTTATATTCACTCATTTGCTGTGTCAATTACCTCTGTGTAGCCAATCACTTTTGGGTCCATGCTTTCAGTTCAGAATGAAACCCATCACTCTACAGATTAATGATGAGTCACAAAGGAAAAACAAGATAAAAAATATTAGATGCACAGATCAATTACAATTTACAGAATATATTGAAGAGTGGCAAATGTTACTTTCATCACTGGGATCCCGGTTCAATTTTCTTCTCATCAGTATTTAGAAACAGAAATTGTGAGTTTAGGTTATTAGCATAAACAAGGTAATACAGATTACTAAGGCTCAGGAAAAACGATTTAGAAATGACTTGATGTAAGTTGAGAAAATTATGAATTACATATGTAAAGAAAGATAAAATAATTAACCCCGGAAAAGATAGCACATCATTGTTCAACATATCATTAAACTGTGGGACCCACTGACACAGAATATTGTGATGATCGCTAACTTAGGGAGCAAGCGTATATATGACTGGGGAATTAGAAATCTAAAGCACTCCCATATCCGAGCATTCCTTTGCCCCAAGGGACAGTAAGAAAAATAATTTTGCAAATGCAAAATAGAATTTATCAGTGCTTTCAACTATGCAAACTGATGACAGTAAACCTGGACTTTTTCTTTAATACTTAGACATGTTTGTGCAAGAGTTGTTATATTTTGATTGGAAAGTGTAAATTGGCTGTTCAGCTTCAGAATGGAGGACTGGATTAATTCTTTCCCTCCTCCTGTTCCATCAAAAAGCAAATAAGTAGGTATTTAGCTATGCACCCACACCCAGTTTTTCTTTTTATAGTCCCTAGGAACAAAACACAATTTCACAGCTATACATTTCAAGTCCAATTTTAAAGCCACTGTATATAAAAATAATTCAGTTCTTATTCAGAAGAGGGGGTGTTAATATAAAACTAAATACAGGATACCAGCACACCTTTCTTCCACCTTAGACCTATGGCTCACAATGAGAATAACAAGTGAATTGTGCTGTGCCATGTCAATTTGATTTGATGTGAGGGCAGATCTTCAGGTCAGAGAGATCCCATGTACACATAATTACAGAACGGGTCAGTCAATGCCTTGTCTGACTTGGAGAACATCAGCGTTGCATAAAATCAGCACATGTGAAAAATCTAATACTTCTCCAGGATGAAATCTGAATCCATGCATAGAGAGTGGAAAATGGCTTTTGTCTTTTCATCTGCCTGAAGGTGTCTTCTTATGTTTTAAATGTTTGCAGTATTTCTAGGTGACAGGCAACTCAAAAAGAATTTGTAAAAACTTATTGAAGAACTTAAGGAAAATCTAAAAAACGAATTATGTGACACCTGTCAAAACTGGCAAGAATTTTTGGTTCAGATTTTACAACTGAATACTTAAGAGTCTCATAAAAGTATATATACTTCACCAAATGTATGTTACACCAAAGAAGAGGTCATCAATGGAGAACCAATGCAGCCTGCCAACCTCAACATTCCCCACTCCTATTTAAGATCCCATTTTCCAAGAGAAAACGTGTAAAGATTTTACCATCCTCTTACCTGGAGGTGGAACCCATAGAGAGCAGAACCTATGGAAGTATGGGACTTTCGTAGATATAGAGCCATCGATTTTGAAATGTATTCATTTGTTCTTTTATTTAATGCAATGGTTCTCAACTTGTGGGTGCCCAGGTGTTTTGGCCAGCAACTCCCAGAAACCCCAGCCAGTTTACCAGCTGTTAGGATTTCTGGGAGTTGAAGGCCAAAACATCTGGGGACCCACAGGTTGAGAACCACTGATTTAATGTGAGGCAGGAAAGTATATGATGTAAAACATGGTGTAAGAAGAGCAAGGAGAACTGACTTCTTGCTTGCAATGAAAAAACATATCTGAAAAGATCGGTCAGTTTTTATCATGGAAGCTTTTAAAGATACTACTATGTAAATACAGACAGCAGTATAAATGTAACATCTTTACTTTTACATATGACTGTGCTCTGTTTTAAAGAAATATACCTCAGTATCTGAAAAGTTTGCCTCACAGAAGCCTCTTCTCCGATCAGTTCGATCTGTTTTCTTGTAATTGCAGTGAGCAGGAGAGATCTGCAGTGCCATTGTGGTATCCTGTAGTTACATTCCGTTAACATAAACCTGCCACACATAGAAGCCACATTTTCATCTTTGCACAATTTCAGTAATATATCATGCCTGTGCAAATCATTCCATGGGCCGTTGGATTAACTGCTGTGCTAGTTACCATACAGGCTGTGGTATGACTCATTGTGATGTCCCTAGGATAGGAGCTTCTTTGACCAGTTATTCCGCTAGCAGTTGTACAAGCGCTGTTGAACAACAACAGCACTTTAGGCCTTCCAGCAGCATAACATTGAATAAAACCTTTTTATTATTTACAGATGTAGAAATAAAACAGAATATATTGGAGATGATCAAATTTCTAAACAGGCAATATAATGATTCAGTATGCATTATGCATTCGATCCCCAAAGGATAGAAGTTTCAGCTTCCTACACTGCCCTTACAGTTTTAAGTTTTGTTTTCTAAATGCACAGCTGTTTCTGTGTGTGTATATTTAAAGCACAACAAACTGCTTGCTCACTTCTTCCTTTTCTGGAGCATGCAACATTTTAAAAACTGGAAAAAAAAGAAGTTGAAACATTAAAGACTATAGACCCCGTTTTTGTCCTCCTTTATGTATCCTGTTATATAAAACCAAAGTAAGAGCCTTTTCCACAAACTTGCAGTAATAACATTTTAATAACTGTGTTCTAAGTCACTCAATCAGACTAAAGCCAATGGATCTTTAATGTTGACTTACCCATTTCACATTGATTTAATAGCGATAGTCTAGTTGAAGCTAACATGTAGATTGAGGTCTATGAGCCACTAACCGTTATTGTCAAAATGCCTTTTTTACAGGGTGGTGCAAAAGTCACAAAGGGTTTCAATATTTAATAACTCCTTAATTTTTTGAAAAAAATTACAGTACAATAGCATCATATACAGTGTAGAAAATAAATTTACATTATGTATGAAAAATAAAATCTTGTAAATGGCTCCAAGTATCATAGTATCCATATACAATATATATAGGACCCCTTCATGACTTTCTACCTTAATGAAAAAAGGTAGAAAGCAGTGGTAGGAACATCAACAACAGCTCCATGTTTCTTTGAACATTTAGGTAACAACAGATTATTATCCCAGCATATAGCAATATGAAGTCCTTTTTTTCTGCCTTCCAGAACAGCTGATTAAATACATTGTGGTTGCTGTTGTGTGTCTTTGAGTCATTTCCAAAGATCACACTAATACTTTCACAGAGGTTTCTTGACAATATTTATTCAAATGGGGTTTGTCTTTTTCTTCTTCTGATGTGGACAAAGTGTGATTTATCCCAGATCAACCAGTGGTCCTAGAGGGGATTCAAACTCTGTTCTTCAGAGTCCTGGCCTCACACTCAAGCCACTAAGCCAGGTCTTTCCAAATATTACATGTTGGTGACACACCCTTTTAGACATGCATCATTTTGTGACATGGTAATTCAGTTGGGAGGTTAAACCAACCCCTTATAAGAGATACAGATACATACATAAATTGTAATAATGAATTATATGGTGACACAATATGCCTCCTTAAAAACTTCCATTTATATATTATAAAAATGTATGATTTATTGCTTATTTCACATAGACTCAGAGGTATCGCTTTACATTCACCCAGCACACCTACACATTGCAGGCAACACACTATGTGTTGCAACACAGAGATTATCTGGCAGTGTGAACTCAAATAATCCAGTTTAAAGCAGAAAACCTGGGATATACGACCTGTCTGGAAGGGCCCAGAGTTTGGAAAGCTGGACACTAAGTTGTACTGGCTCTCACATTAAATACATACAAATTCCATTTTACTATAGACATTAACATTGAATTTGAACTAGTATTATAGTCTTCATTGTTGGTATTGTTGGGTGCTTTCAAGATGTCTCCAAGTTATGGCAACTTTATCACAGGGCTTTCTTGGAAAGATTTGTTCAAGGGAGTATTACCTTTGTCTTTGTCTGAGAGAATGTGACTTGCCCAAGGTCACCCAGTGGGTTTCGATGGCTGAGCAAGGATTAGCCCTGAACTTTAGAGTCATAATCTAACACTCAAACCACTATAATGCATTGAGTCTTTCTTGACCTATACAACATTACACAATGTCATCTCAGAAAATAATAATTTGGGGGAAATGTTTGCTAAAAGTTTTTCCCCTGGGAAACAGCTATGTAAATGTAGGACTCTTAAAGAGGATAAAGCTACAATCATAAAATAGTTAAAGCCACGTGTGCCATTACAACTGTACCCTCATTTCATATAAATAAATAAATATATGCCATATTTACTCAAAATAATGTGCACCTTTTTTGGCTAAATGTTGTTACCAAAATCAGCATGCGCATTACATATGTGTAATAGGTAAGGCAAAATGGGCCACCGCTTTAGGAGCAATTAGCTGGCAGGATTTGGGAAGCAAAGAAGAAGCCAAGGTGAGAGAAAATCCAAGAGATTGCTTGGGAGGCGGAGAGGAAGCCCATGTGGCAAGTGGGAGAGAAAGAGGGAATGCCTGGAGATGGCTTCCAAGGTGGGGAAGAAGGTGAGGGGTGCACTTGCAAGTGAGATGGGAAGGAGTCTGGATATGACTTGTAGGGGAGAGAGGAAGGTGAGGTGGTGCATGTGCAAGCAAGTGGGACAGAGAGAGAGAGAGAGAGAGAAGCCTGGAGATCGCTTGGGAGCAGGGAGGAAATGGGTCTTTCTTTTGGATGAGCTATAGAATCCTGGGATTTGTAGTTTGGCAAGGCAACATTACCCTTCGACTGAGAAGACTCAAAACCTTTTAAAACTACAGCCCCTAGATTTCATAGCATTGAGCCAGAGGAGTGAAAGTGGTATCAGGTTGAATTAATTCTACAACATAGAAAGATTAACCCAAGGAAGCTGAGGTGGGACAAACAGAAGAGGCTCCTTGAGGAAAGAACACAGCAACTGTAATGCACACTTTTTGGAATTACAAAGAGTGCACTTTTTGCCACTGCACATTACATTAGCCAGCAAATACTTCTTTTTGTTCCAGTGTTTTGATAATTGAGGTGTGCATTACATTCAGTGGCACACTAGATTAGAGCAAACACAGGTACTTTCTTTAGCAAAAGTACATAAGTTAATGCCTGTTTCTCCTACACAGCTAAGAACCTATTCGTGTTTCTGGAAGACTGCACATTAAATCTCTGAGTCCATATATTTTTTTAGAAAATACAGGGCAGCACAGATGTTGAAGGTTTTCCTTTTCAGGACTACTTATCTACATGGGAGCATAGAATCAGGAAATAATTCTGAATATACATACTTCCTATTTTCTAATCAAACTTGAGAGAAACCTGTCTTGCATCTGAACAAATAGCATTCAGTTATAATGGATAATTCATTGACACCTCTAAAACAGCAGCAGCAGTCACCACCAACCTGATGGAATGCAATGATTTTATCTGCAGTGTTTTCCAACTATCATATGAGTGGTTTGCTTGGAGGATTTACAGAACACATTAAAAGAAGTCATCTTTCCTCCAAATGACACCCTCTCACTGAGCTACGGGCTTTCTCCACCAGCATTCAAACTGAATTGTTATGTGACTGCTGCATGTGGGAAGCTATTTGAAAGACTAGTAGTGTTTTGGAAAGTCTCTACACTGAATAAATGATACATGTGGGAGTCTGACAGACATTAATGACTGTGGGATGCAGCAGCATAAAGCATCCTATGTATATACATGGGAACAATTAATCCAAAGACACTAACATACAATTTGGAAATGGAAATCACCAAAATTGGTTTCTAAATAAAGTACATCGCTCCCAAGTGATCATTAATTTAGTATTTCACACTAAGCACTTTTGGAAACCATTTGTTCAGCTAGAATGTGGAAGATTACTTTTTTCTGCTCCTTTTACTTGTCACCTGTGACTTGTTTTCACTTTAAACAGCTAGTAGTGGTGGTGTTTTCCAATTGTTTTCAGAATCTTGTACGAATAACTTAATGTTCCTTCTAATACCCATGGAGCTTTTTTAATGCTAACATTTTCAGTGCTAGGGGTAATGTAAATTATTTAATGTGTCATATATGTTCTGTTTCAGATGATCATTCTCGAGTTAGACTGCAGCCCATCGAAGGGGACTTAAACTCAGACTACATCAATGGAAATTATATTGATGTAAGTATATACTTATCTAGTCAAGAAATAGTATGTAGGCCTTTTAAAAGTGCAGATAGAAAAAGAGGGAAAAGAGAGAGATAAATAAATAAATAAAAGGAGGAAATGTTTAGGATAGGAACAAGGGCTTAAACATACTTTAATGAAAGCTGGCCATATTTCCAAAAATATATTTTGGAGGCAAGTTGGTCTCAACAAAATTCACATTCACACATAAATAAGCAGTGAGATGCATGTTTATCTTTTTAGTGCTGGATTATTGGACTTGTTGTAAAAGTCAAAGAAGTTATGGTACAGCCAGGTTTACCTTCTGATCCCACACTTCAGGAGCATAATTTTGAAATAAATATTAGTAATCAAAGAAACATATGTTTATTTATTGCTTGTTTGGAAGAGATATTTCAAAAACTAGAATTGCTAGCTGCTAAATGCTATGCAACACCATAGTGAGTAAACCACACATGTTTATTAAAGTTGGCATTAAAGCTACAAAAGATTTTCTAATAAGGAAATTAAAATAGTCATTTCCTAAAACTTCTTCATTTTGAAGTGGAGGCTTGCCAATAATTTTATCTGGTTACGTTTTGTCCTGAAGCTATTGTGGACAAAAAAGAACCTGTTATGTGCACTTTCTGTCAACAATGTGACGTAATTCCTTTTTAAAGGGGCGCTGTTTGCATATTAATGTGACAAAACTCTGTAATTCCTAATGCAGTGACTTGCAATCTCTTGTCATCTCTGCACTTTTAAGCAGCCTTCAAAGTACAGTCTGCATCTGTTAAGCAGGACTTCTAATGCAAGCAAGACATTTCATAAAATATGTACACTGTTTAATTATTGAAGACTGCTTCTTTGTTCATTCTGCATCATGTTAACTTAATGTTTTACATTAGAATAAATTCTTTAAGAGACAGCATTTTTGGGACACTAAAGAAAGAATGAAATCAAAATTAAGAAAGAATCAATGCCACTGTAAGCCATAATTCTGCAGAGGAATCTAAGAATTGTCCATGTTCCTGCAAAGTTAAGAAACTGAGAATTACTTAGCTGTCTTAACTGATGCTATCAACATTGGTTTTCCCTTATTTGTTAGATCTTATGATAGAGATTTCACTTATACATTTACCTTTCCATTGGCTACGTCAAAAGTGAATTTAGATTCCTTGCTGGTAAATTGAAAAGATGGGACGGTTGATTAAAACTATTTTTTTAATCCCACAAGAGTTTCAACAAGCCAATTTTCTATTTTATTTAATAGTCTCACTGTTGAGAATTACATCTTTTGACTTGTAAACTAGACACATCGAATAGTGGCTAATTCAAATATAAATCTAAGCTAATACTTACTTGGCAAGGACATCTGTGTTTAGAGTGCAGCACTGCAAGATAAATCACAATTCTTTCTTGTATCATACAAGTCTTGTGTCTTGTGTCTTGTTTCTTTTATCATACAAGCCTTGTGTCTCTATTTAAGTATATGTTACTAGAAGCCACTTTTGTGGCTTTATTTGGTGACTGCCACCATGAACAAAGCCATTTGACACCCTTTTTACTTGTGCTGCTTGTGAGACGCCCTGAGTCCCCCCCTTGGGGGTGAAAAAGAGAGGATAAATGTCTGAAATAAATAAATAAATAATAAACAAACACACAAATGGGATAGTTAAAGATATTCCCCATAGGGTGAAGAGGTGTTCAATGTATTGTCGAAGGCTTTCATGGCCGGAATCACTGGGTTGTTGTAGGTTTTTTCGGGCTATATGGCCATGGCATCAAGTATTATTTCCACCACTTCTTATCATTCCATTATAAAGATTGCAATTTCCTTGATTTGGTTGCTAGTGCAGATTTGCTTTTATTAAAAACACTTCAATGTAATAAATGTCATTATAATTGATATATACATGTGTGTGTGACCAATGTGTACTATAATCTTGGTAATGCTGCTCTAATAATATTCTTACAAAGAATATAATTAACAAATATTAAGTGCCCCCCCCCAAAAAAAAACCCCAATCTTAACATTATTGTTTACTGCTCCTCCAATATTGGATTAAATTATTCTCATCTTCCAAAAAAAGAGCTGGGCTACTTTCCATTGTGTTTTCTAGTAGAACTGAGCAAACAATCCACAATATAGATGTTCAATAAACATGGCATTTTCCCCAGTTATAAGAAAACCATGATTGCAAAAGATAAATAAAGGTAGCAAGGACCTAGTATTAACTTTACTAATGTCAATAACACATTTCTATTATGAACAACTGCATTTCAGTTTACATTTCAGAAGGTAATTTCCACTGTTTAGATTCATTTTTCATTACGTATGATAGCAGTAATCACTTGTAAGTAGATTAGCTCTGAAAGCCCTATCAGTTTCAGGGTAATTGTACAAACAATTCCTGGTTCGAAGAGATTGATATTACTAACCACACAGTCAGTTTTTAAAAAGTGATTGAGAATGAGACATAAACAGAACCATAAGTTTTGTGCTAATTAAACTATATATTGTGATGCAGCCATAAATCAGCCTACTATTGCAAACCGCGGTTTAAAGAGACACAAGACACAAATTTACCTTACAATGCTGTAGCTATCTTGAAATCATCTCAATCAAACAAATCAAACATATCTTACTTCACTACAAATATCTGTGGATTGGGATAGTTCTTTGGGGAGATAAACCCACAGGATCCTGCTGAATGCTACTTAGGATCATTTCACACTACAAAAATATAGCACTAAGATTCCACTATAATTTTTGTGGTTCCAGCTTATGGAGTACTGGGATTTGCTGTTTAGGTATGGTTCTTTGAAATTTTTAGTCAGAGAGTCAAACTACAAGCTATAGGATTCCATAGGATGCAGCCATGACAGTTCAAGTGGAACCAGAGTAATATGAGTAGTGTGTATGAGTCCTCGATTTTACATAGTTTAGAAACAACCCTAGCAGCATTGGCTGCTTTTTCTTTCACGGTTCTTCTCATAAGGCCAAACAAGTGCACCAAATATGTTTTTAATAAGTGTCAGATTGAATATGTTGTGCATTCATTTAATACCTGTGACAAATTTTCAAGGCTGATTTAAAATGCTTCCTAAATGTTTATTTCAGGGTTATCATCGGCCAAACCACTATATTGCTACACAAGGTAAGTTTGTGTCATATTTATATTTTCCTCATATGTGAGATTACTATTTTTGTTTCTGCTATAGTTAACTCAGTCCAAGGACTTGATTTCTTCAGCCTAGGACTCTGGAGTCACAACTTCATCTAACTTGGCACAACTGAAGAGTTTGGAAATTGCCTATATTGAGCAGCATAGTCAGCCATCTCATTTATTATTTGTTATATGTATTTTAATAGCGCTTTGTTTTATCTCACTCTTTTAACTATGTTGTAACACACCTCAAGCTACAAGGATAGGCAGGTAATAAATACATCATCATTATTATTATTATTATTATTATTATTATTATTATTATTATTATTATTTCAATATAGATATTCACCTGAAACAGGAAATTTTATGTATCTTAACAAGAGACTGAACTGTTTGTCATCTTTTTTTGTTGTTGTTGCTGCTGCTTCTGCTGTTTTTTTCTTGCCAGTGATGGAAGAAGGACTAACAAGTGTTAGATCTTCTTCTTCATGTGTCAACATAACTTGGCTGGCATTGCTTACTTCATAAATTTCCCTTTTACCATTTTCTCTTTGCTGTCAGCGAGGTATCAAAAAGTTGCAAAGTTTTCAAAGACTATTCACAGTTTGGACTTACTCTGCACAAAAAGGCATGCTTTGGAGCAGAAAATGGCATTTTCTATGCAGAAAATAAGCTTCCTACTCAGAAAAAAAGTTTCCTGTCCAGAAAACATTACATAGAAAATATAGCTTTCAATACAGGGGGATTGTTGTCCCCGAATATGCATTTTCCATCACATAATAAGTTTCAGAATTGCAAAGATTCTTGTTAATGCAGGATTCTCCAGTCCTTAAGAAACCTGCTTTTTGGCCATTTGAATATTGCTTTCCATCTGTACTGGGCACTTTGACTTGGCACCTTGACTGGGTATTATTTGCTCTGTGCAAGTTTTTTTTTTTTTTTTTTTTTTTTTTTGCATTTATGAAATACTTACCACCTTCCGAGTTTAACATGCTCCCTTCACTTCTTATACCTCCTGATGTAAAAAGATTGATTTCAGAGCAAAATGATTCTTCTCTGAAATGAACGTGCATACCACAGCCCTGTATGCATTTTGTATTTGAATAATTTAAAATTAACCAAACTTTGAGTAAACTGAAAAGTAAAATTGCTCCAAATACTCTATTAAGTGAACATAATGTGATATGTTTTATTCCCTATATAGGATCAATTTTATATGTAGTGCAGAGTATCCCTTTTCTTTTCTGGTAAAAATTGTTTAGCATTTAATAGGTTCTCTGGAATTCAGCAAAGTGGAACCTCCAAAATAATCTAAGCAAAAGAAGAATTTCAGGATGAGTTTACACAATGAAAGAATGGTTTGTTTTACCTGTAGGTCTCTGATGGTCTAAATTGAAGCCTACCTGGTTGAAAGTAATGCCTAACATCTCTAGAGGTTTTGTATTCATATCTGAAAGCACATCATTCTCTGAAAGAATTTTTATATGGTTGCTATTTTCGGTGAAACTGGGGGGGGGGGGGTTCTGCCATGAAAAGATGAATGATGGACTGGTTTCCAAAAGAGAAACTATGAGCCAATGTTGGCTCTTATGAAACAGCTATTATATCTCTTGGCTAGCAGCATTTTTTTCCATTGCAGCTATTTTAGCGGAAATCAGTGCTTCCCAGGTGGAGGGGCTGGCAATGTGCCAGGAACCAGCAATATATTATTTCCTTTCTTGACTCATGATCCAGCACCAGTCCAGAGACCACCACTTTTGAGTCCCATAGAATACTTTTAGTTAAAATAGCTATAACTTTCCTTTCTCCTAACACAAAGGTGGCCAAAGGGTTGCCCATGCCCATGCCCATTCTGTGTTACCAATTGTTACATTGTTTTCTTAAATTGCATTTTGCTCTCAATATAACATCTTATAGATAACACTTTAGCACAGCATTTCTCAACCTGGGGGTCGGGACCCCTGGAGGGGTCGCGAGGGGGTGTCAGAGGGGTCGCCAAAGACGCAGTATTTTCTGTTGGTCATGGGAGTTCTGTGTGGGACATTTGGCCCAGTTCTATCGTTGGTGGGGTTCAGGATGTTCTGTGATTGTAGGTGAACTATAAATCTCTGTAACTACAACTCCCAATGTCAAGGTCTATTTCCCCCAAACTCCAGCAGAGTTCACATTTGGGCATACTGATTGTCATGCCACATTTGGTCCACATCCATTATTGTTTGAGTCCACAGTGCTCTCTGGATGTAGGTGAACTACAATCAAAACTCAAGGTCACTGCCCACCAAACCCTTCTAGTATTTTCTCTTGGTCATGGGAGTTCTGTGTGCCAAGTTTAGTTCAATTCCATCATTGGTGGAGTTCGGAATGCTCTTTGATTGTAGGTGAACTATAAATACCAGCAACTACAACTCCCAAATGACAAAATCGATCCCCCACCCAACAGCCAGTGTTCAAATTTGGGCCTATCGGGTATTTGTGCCAAATTTGGTCCAGTGAATGAAAATACATCCTGCATATCAGATATTTACATTATGCTTCATAACAGTAGCAACATTATAGTTGTGTAGTTGCCATGAAAATAATTTGCTGATTGGGGGTCACCACAACATGAGGAACTGTATTAAGGGGTCGCGGCATTAGGGAGGTTGAGAACCACTGCTTTAGCATGTTAATTCCTAATTGAAACAAAATTCTCCACTTTGATGCAGATATCCCAGCCACAGAAAACAAGTGCATCTTTTGATCAATTAGACCTTATCAGCTATCATAAGAATTGACATGCTGTAGTTCTCTGGATAAATTAATTCATATCATTTAGGGACACTCTTCTGATGTCTTTCTATCAACATGAGCAAAGTTGAATACGGAAACTTATGCTGGAATTCAGTTTCAGCTTGTATTCATTTTGCAGATTTGGTTATCAAAGGGTTCCATTTTGATTGAATTAATTTGGAGGAGACATTTGAAAATCCAAACTTTATCCAAATTAGTGAGGCTTCTGACTCCTTCTGTCTGAGAATCAAATGGCAATTGGGGCCAGAAACTTTAATCATGCATTTTCCTGTAAATCCTCCCTACCGACCTCTTCTTCCATCATAACTTTGGGAACCATGGAAAAGCGCAGTGAGGGATCTTCTAAGAACCCCCTGTGGATGGAAACAGACCCCCTTCAGATTATCACTTCCTTCTTCCCCCACCTTCTCCAATCACTCTGATGCTCTGGCCAGAGTCAGTGGATGCAGCAAGCAACAACCACTGGCATTTTCACACCTAGTTGTTGCCACAAAGCCAAGGGCACGAGGGGGAAGATAAGTGGTATCCCCTGTCTCCAGGCCACACAACCAGGGGAAGATGGCCATGTGAACAGCCATAGCCACTCCCAAATGCACAATAGCCCAATTGTTTATTTTACCACAAAGGGAATTTTTAAGATGTGGGACAAGGCTATTTTAAGCGGTCTTAGGTCAAATGATCCCTGTGTGTTACATGGATGCCATGGGACCCATTCACCCTTTGGTCCATGTAGATGGGTGCTCCTTCTTATCAGTTTTTATATAAACAGTCAATTCACTTGAGGGTACTGGGGTAATTATTCCCACTTCTTTAGAAAACAGTCTCTTTGGAAAATGTGAACATGTCACCTCACTTCTGAGCTAAATGTTTGGGATGTTTCCTGTAAAATATTATTTCAGCAACCTTACACATCCAGGTCCTTGTCATCTTTCCACATGCATGGAGGTGTTTATACTATGCTTTGGAGCAAGAAGAAAATCAATGGCGAAATCAGTCCAAATACCCCTGTGTTCTTCTTCAGTTCCATTCCACATATGAAGTGATAATGAGCAAATATAATTGGATGCCACTAAATGGTGGCAAAATGTAATTGGTTTGCTATAGGCTACCAATCTGGCATTTAATAAAACTAGGGAGTTGTATAATCACTTGTTTCTTACTGTTTTATTTACTTCCAAGTGATCCACTATTAGCTTTGTAGGGTTTAGGTTGGCAATAAGCCTGCTTTCAGCCCCTTTCCAATTTTTGTTGATTAGGGCACTGATAAATGAAGAGTAAAATGTGTTTTACCTAATGGTGTATCTGGAGACCATCTAACAACATTTTAAGTGCAATAAATTGTAAACCTGCAATTTGGATTGAGAAATTACCATCTACTTTTCTTCTGTACAGTAGCTATAATAAGCTGAAATTGCTACTGATGAAGACTTTAGGTGATCTTCAGTAATTGGTACAGATGCAGGAAGTACCTGGGCATTTTGCATTTTAAAAAGCTTTGTTGTTGAACCAAGTGAAGTGGATCGTATACAAAGAAGAAGCAAGAACAATTTTAAAATAAAATTTTAGTTTTATTTGGAAAATATTTCATATTTTCCGAATAAAACTAGTTATTTGAAGACTGTTACACAAAAGCAAGTGTGTGCGCCTTTATGCCTGTTTGAGTTGCTGGTTGTGTTGAATCCCATGCTAGAAATCAAATTTGGGGAACCTATAGCATTCCAGTTCTTGGACTAGGTTTCTAGCCCGGCCAAATATGAGGCATGATTGGAGTAGTACTTCGTCAATATTTAGATAGCCACATTTCCCCACACCTGCTGTAAATAGGTTGGTAAACTTTAGTATGGAGGAAAATTGGAGGGGGAGGGAGGTTGGTGCAAAATGAATCCGTAGCAATAGGTCATCGTGTAGAAACTAATCTTAGATTGGTTACATGTTTATTAAACATTTGTAATTGCTGCCATTTAAAAGCAAACTGAACATATTTGTACAGTAAAATAAAACTACCAGACATAGCCAGGATTCACAACTTGATCTTTGCTGAGAAAACAACAGAATCTAGCAAACGTGGGAGGAGACAGTCTTCCCTTTCCACTTCAGTGCTCATCCCTCTGTCTCAGAAACTATTGGATTTAGGTCAAAACACCAAATATTAATTTCAAACTATTACCAAGTTGCCACATAGTGAGGGAGAGATCCGG